AAAAAAAAAAAAAAAAAGGCAGGAAAAACAAAGCCAGATAAACACAAGAGAAAGAATTTGTCTGATGCAAGGTGAGCAAAGGGAAGAGAAATGTAAGAAAGAAATGTAAGTGAAAGAAGCGTCAGATTTAGGGTCCCATCCAAGAATATAGTGCGGACAGAACACATATTAAAAAACATTGCATTGGAGGACATTTGTGAAAGACTCTCTCTCTCTCTCTCTCTCTCTCTCTCTCTCTCTCTCTCTGTGTGTGTGTGTGTGTGTGTGTGTGTGTGTGTGTGAGAGAGAGAGAGAGAGAGAGAGAGAGGCTGGGAGTTTCATTCCTTACTGTTCAACCAAGAAAAGCCAGCCTGTGTGGCCCTGGGCAAGCTGCACAATCCCATGAGGCCCCCAGAAGAAAGGAATGGTAAACTAATTCTGAGTACTCTGTACCTAGAAAATCTGGAAAATGGTCACTAGAATTGACCTGATGGCCATGAAGGCTTAACTCATCCTACATATTCTACACAAACACACCTACTGACTGATTTTTTTTAAAAGTAAAGGCCAGAGTTTGGAGAAGCAAAGAAGGAAAGGTGTTTACGTCCTAACTTCCTTAAACTATACATCACACCTACAAAATATTCCATCCAGATGTGGGCCAGATATTCTAAGTATAAATACATGTTTCTGTTCCCCATTGGTACACTAAACACAGATCTTTGTAATTTAAATATATCTCTGTAGTTTGTAATTTAAATATATATATCTGTAGGTGACAATGGGTGACTAAAATATATGAGCAGTTAATGAGTTCATAAACATCCCATAATAAGATAGTTTATCAGTGGTATTGTCAGTGGTTTAGGTTTCTGGCTGCAGAGCTAGAGGTTGGAAGTTTGATTCCCCACGGTGTCTCCTGTAAGTAGAGCCAGCCTAGGTGGCCTTGGGCAAGCTGCACAGTCCCAGGCCACCCCTGGAAGAAAGAAATTGTAAACTACTACTGTTTGTTCTCAGACGTTTGTTCTGATCCACTACTAAAGCTTTTCTTATGTTGCTCTTAATCTGTTTATCCTCTCCTGCCATCAAATGGACTCAATCCCCAAATTCCTTGGGATGACCCAATGGCAGTTAAAGTGGTATCAAACTGCTATAACTGTGCAGTATAAATGGGAGACCAGCCAGGTTGGCCCTGGAGAATGAAGGGAAATTCTTATGATGAACACACAGAAACACATCTGAATATCTTGCATGCCCTTTCAAACATGGTGTCCTAAATGTTTTTGGACCATAGTTACATTTGATCCTCAACTATTGGTAATGTTTGCGACCCTACAAAATATATAGTTAAAAAAAATCTTGTGGGTCCCAGGTTGGGAAAGGCTCATCTTAGATATGCCCATGTCCCTAAGAGGGCTTTGTGTGGTTGTTGCAATACAAGAAGAGGAATGGGGAATGGAATAGGGGTACATTTGGAGACACATGTGCTGATCACAGCAACCCGTACAGCACACCTCCAAGGAGGGTTTGGAAATTTAGCCAGTTGTTTTGATCCACAAACAAGTTCTAGTAGTTTTGCCGCTATCAGGGAGTAGGTCTTTTGTAAAGCTAATGGGTCTTAATTGCCCATTTAAAATTAAGCCACAACAAAATCTTTTGCATTACCAAAGATTGGAAATATTAGCTTTTTGGACTACAAAACAAAAAGTATACTGTATTTGGTTGGGGCATTTGGGAGTTGCACTAACCCCCCCCCCCAAGTTTCCATGTTCTGTGCATTACACAAGGGGTTGCTCACAACTATTGCTGTGGTGAAAAGCCACCCCTTCTCACTATTATGAGAGCTGCAATTAATCTCAGACAAAACAAAAAGGGGTGTGGGGAGAAAATGTAAATCATTCCAGTTAATTAAAAAAACAAGTCCTGGTGCTTTGACACTGTGAATCTGGCCCTTTTATAGCATTTTCCATAGAGTCTGCCTTGTTAGTGTGCTCCAGCAAAAAAACAATGATCCACTGGCCGCAATCCTTTTCATGTTTGTGTAACGTTTGCAAAACCTGCCATGGCTAATTGTCGCTAACTGGTGAAGCACAGACCACGTCCTGGTCATGTGTCTGATCATATGCCCAGTTTTGTGACAAATATGCCCCAGCATCTCATCAATTAGCCATAGCAAATTATGCAAACCTTATATGAACTCCAATAGGATTCTGGCAATTGCAATATAAAAGTTTTGTGGAGTCCAGTCCAGTCCACGTCTTCAAAATGATACTTCACAGAGTATCATTTTAGAGAGGTGCACTGTATGTATATCTAGACCTCTTACATGAGATTCCACACAGTGGGTTATAATCCCAAAAACCCACCATGTAATACATTTGTCAGACTTAAAGATAGCATGCGTCTGGCTCTATTAAACCAGAGAGAGAGCTGTCGGAGGCATGAGATTCCACACAGTGGGTTATAATCCAAAAACCCACCATGTAATACATTTTTCAGACTTAAAGATGGCATGCGTCTTTTTGCTGTCTGGCTCTATTAAACCAGAGAGACAGAGAGAGAGAGCGGTCAGAGGGGCAGGATTTCTCTCTCTCTCTCTCAAGCTGTACTCTCTAGTTATCACTTACCTGATCCTTCCAATTATATAATTGGAGGGCTAAATCCAATCTAGTCTAACTAGAGTAAATCCATTGACTCAATGAGAGTTTTGTAAATGAACAGTTACTTGATTTCAGGTGGAGTGTGTAGTCCTTTGCAGTATTAATTACCAATAAGTCCAATAGTTGCATCTTACAGTCTAATCAATTTTATTTCCCATAAGCCTTCATGGACTGCAGCCCACTTCATCAGCCGTGTGGTCCTTATTGCCAAACAAAATGAAACCTCTCTCCAAATCAAAGTTGTTACTGTTTCTGCTACCACAATTTCTTTGCTATTTGCATAAATCCCCATTCATACAATGGGTCTGCTCTATTTAGGACTAACAAATGCATTTAGTTATTTGTTTATGTGATTCATAGCTGGCTTTTCTCCCAGAACTGAGTAACTAACAGAATAACTAACAGACACAAACAAAAGCAAAATCGATTACAATATGGGGGTGGGGACCCGATTTAACAAAGATTAAGACTTAAAAGCGTTTGTACCCAGGACTGGAGTCAGGAAGTTATGCAGATGAAGTCTAAAAATGCTGAAGAAAGCTATCTGAAGTGTTTGTGTGTGTGGGGAGAAAGATCGTTTTGTTCTAAGTGAAAACAAACCTAAATCTATAAAGGAAATTATCCTTGACTTGTTTGTTTCCTGCCCCCGCCCGACGGTCTTTGGCTTTCCAGGCCAGCTCCCTTTTCCCGCCCACTCAATTTTGAGAAGCAAGTGAGAAAAGTGAAGGCGAAGAAATAAACATAAGTTGCAGATGTTTGCCCCCGTCCTTTTCCGAATTCCTGTCTCCGTGCGCGCAGGCAAAAATGGGCATGAATGGGCTTTTCCCCGCCCACCGTCCCCACATACTACTCCCGGCTCCGCCCACTCGCCTCTCATTGGCTGGCTGGCTTCGAAGGTGGAATTTAAAAAGGAGAAATGAATGCGGATCCTGAATTTAGGATCCAGAAAGAGGATCGGGGAAGTGGGAGAAGAAAAATAAGCAGGCTCGCTGTTTCCAGGCTTCACAGCTGAACCTCTGCGGACATGCAGACTTCTCGGGCGCTTTGCTCTTTCTGCCTCTTCTTCCTCCAAGCCCTCCTTCCCTCCGGCCGAGGGTGGCAAGTGCTTAAAAACGACGCCACGGAGATCGTCCCGGACTTCCAGGAGAACACCGAGATGCCGGAGGAGCCACCCTATGTCCAGAACGAGAACGAGACCATGAGCAACAGGGCGCAACAAGGGGAGAGGTACCCCACGCTTCCTTTGAACCGGATGGGTAAGATGCAAACAGAAAGATACCTTGACCCTACTAATAGAGGTTTCATGGCTGGCTGGATAGCTCCCTGGTTTAGGGATCTGGCTGTGGAGACAAAGGTTGGCAGTTCGATTCCCCACAGTGCCTCCTGCGAGTAAAGCCAGCCTGTGTGGCCTTGGGCAAGCTGCACAGTCCCAGGATGTCCCCCAGAAGAAGGGAATGAAACACCACTTCTGAGTGCTCTCTACCTACAAAACCCCCAAAAATGGTCACCTTAAGTCAGAGTTGACTTGATGGCCCATGATTATTAATAATAGAGTTTTCAAGGTAAGTGGGGCATTTAAGGAGTGGTTTTACCAGTTCCTCCAGCCCCACTCCCCTGAGTGTCCATGGCAGAGTTCAGGAATCCAACCTAGGGCTTTTGGATCCCGTGGTCCATTATTCTATCCACTACACCCCACTAGTTATTATGTAATCATGTTTTGCCAAGTCAATTCTGACTAATGGCAACCCTTTTCAGGGTTTCTCCAGCCTGGGAACTGTAGTCTCCAAAAGTAACTTTTCCAGGCATTCCATGCCACCTTTGCTCCAGTGTATTGAAAGCTACACTCATTTCCACTCGCAAGAAGTGTTTGGCCAGGCTGAGAGAGGGCAATAAACTCCAGGTCACCCAAGGTGTTTTCGTGGTGCATTGGGTGACCTTGAGGCATTAACCTGGATTTCTTTAATCCTGGTACAAAACTGCAACATGGAGCCCTATAACATCCATTATAACCAGGGAAAGGATCTTTTTTGCTGTGGGATAGCCCACATAGGAACATGCTTTATATCATGTCAAAGGACTTGTCCATCTAGCCCAGGTGACTTCATCCCCAATAGGGGCACCTTCCAGATGGGCTGTGCTGCCAATGTGTGTCAACCTAGCGCTATGTCTGCTGGAGTGGCGGGAGCTCTTGGCTAACCCATCACTGCTTGTCTTGGGAAAGCTATTTTACCTGAACTGGTAATAAGTCTCCAAAGTTTTGGGCTAGGCTGTGATCTTTCCTATTGATTGGAAGACAAGATCTTGTGGCAGGGACTGTACTAAATGCATTATGACAAGGCTTATGGCACCCTTTGCCTTATGATCAACACAACATAGTGTGTCTGGTGTTTGCAAGGGAGTTTGCCATCTAGGCATCAACCACTAAAGTGGCTAATTAATGTTAATCCACATGCTTTTAGATTACGACCGTGAGAGTCCCACATGATCTCCCAGCCAGAGACAGAACATTAAGGTGGAAGCTGCAGCCTTCTTTGTGAACAGGCATGTATCTGTCACTAGAAATAGCAGAAGAGGGCTCTGAAATTCCGGCACTTCTTATCTAGCAATTTTCTATTGATTAGCACACTGCTTTTGTCACACGCAGAAGCCTAAACTTACTCAATTGAGTTTGAGCAAATGACTAGAATATTCCTCAAATGAGCTGTGGTGCCATCCCCTTTCCTCAATTACCAAAACCTTTTGTCCTTTCATCAATAAATAACCCATTGTGGTTCAGAGTGCCACACAAATTTTCAGGTTTAGCGCTTGGAAGCAACACATAAGAAGGAACAGCTTTACCTCTAACATGATTCTTCTAGGATAACAACGCTACCAAGTTATTACTTTTAAAAGAGACTTAATAAGTAGCTCCATTTTAAAGATAGAATAACTTGTTCCCTCTGAAAACAGCTTTTGAGGAGGGGTTTCGGTTAGGATTTGGGGAGTTTTATAGATTTTTTTAAAAAAACTATGCTTTCATACTGTTACTACAAAAAATGTTTTGCTGATGAGCTCCTTTAGATTAACAGCAATGTGTTCCTTTTTAAAAAAGTAGCATTCCATGCTCTATCTAGATTATGGTTCTATTTTTTGGATTGTGTTCTTGTACTTCTCCTTAGTTTTCCAGTCCCAGCCTTGTCAGAATAGTCCATCGGGCTATCCTGTCTTGGCTCCCTTGCAATATATATCTTGAACTTCTTACTTTCCCAAGCCTGGGGTTATTCCCAAGCCTACTAATGCCTCCCCAGTATGTCTGATGTCATTGTGATCACGTAACCAATGACATTCACTTCTTAGCATCAGAAATATATACACTGATGTTTTAAGTTACCTGTTCAAATATCTAGGCATTCAACTCTTGCTGATTCTTTCTCTTAACTGCCTGCCTGCCTGCCTTCCTTCTTGGGAAGCTCTGCTTCTCTCCCAACATCCCCTGTCAGGATCAAAAACATGGTCCAGATGATGGCTAACGTGGATGCATAACTGTACAAGGCCAGTCCTAAAGACCTTGGTTCATCTTCAGCCACAGCCGAATCAGAAGGTGCAATCGGACTGGTGCAAAGGCATGTATCTGATCACACCAGAAAGATCACTTCAGGATGAGTGATCTCCCTTAAAGCAGCCCTTTCATCTGTGAGGAATTGTTCCAGATCAGCCCCAAAGGGTAATAGTTCTACCCAAAAAGATCCAGCTGAGAGACAGATCAGGATCAGGCTGGAGTGCATTTCAGCTTACATCATAGGATTGCTGGTAAACAGATTGTATCGGACTTCACCCTAAGTAGTTCAACTTGTAAGTAATCTATTTCCCATGTGATTACACCAGAATCTCCTGCCCTGGGAGCTCTCCCAGGTGCTGCAGAGTTGGGCTGAGGGCAAATTATGATTATGCCCTTTAGCAGCTGACTTGAGGAAACCCAATCTCCACCAAACATGGAGGGAATGTAGAGGAGAGTCAGAGAAAGCTTCTCAGCAATTTTGGTGTCTCTAGGTGCATGCCCCCCCCCATTTTATAGAAAATTGAATTGATTAATCAAAAATTGCTAAAAATTCATCGATTCGTATTCAGGGGGGCATTGATTCTTACCAATATGAATCGAAGAATTAGCGATTTTTTGAATGAATTCAATTTTGAATTTTTAAATTTGGGCCCATCTCTGTAGTAAACCTGTACAATATCTGGGTTCTAATTAATCAAAAATTGCTAAAAATTCATCGGTTCGTATTCGGGGGAGCATTGATTCTTACCAATATGAATCGAAGAATTAGCGATTTTTTGAATGAATTCAATTTTGAATTTTTAAATTTGGGCCCATCTCTGTAGTAAACCTGTACAATATCTGGGTTCTAGTGTGTCAGAGTGCAAAAGGGTTCTAATTTAGTTTCCCTTCAGGTTGGTGGTGGGCAAAAGGCAGCTGTCCCTATGTTCTTTTCAACGTTCAAGGAATTGATTCGAAGAGAACTCACTTGTGCGAATCCACTGCCCGGCAGTCATATCTAAGGCCAAGCAACTGGAGCTTTGGCCTAGGGTGCTAAAATTCCAAGGGCACAGAAGTTCAGAAGTGAGTCTCAGAAATATAAATAGCAAGATCTCCCATATTGGATGGGGTGCTTCACAGGGGTAGCCTAAGCTCTTGCACTTCTTCAAGCAGGAAGCAAAGTGCTGTTTCCATGACATTGTGCCACTATGGCAACCCCCACTCCCAAAAAGAGAACGTTTATACTTTTAAAGCGAAAAACAAAAACAAAAAGCAGGGCATTCTGATACCCAGAAGCCTTCACCACGAGCTGTGCTGGCCAGGATTTCTGGGAGTTATAGTCCAAGAACGTCTGTGGAACCCAAGGTTGAGAACCATGGTATACCACATCCACCTTCTGCCCTACCACACAGTTATAAGGTCTGGAATAGATGTAGCACACATGACCTTCACCCAAGGCAAGGAATTGGTGGAAGATGCTGTTGCTTTGCCCAGGGTACCCAAATTGCTAGTTAAGCCTCTGCTGCTCTGTTAGATGTTGTCTGCTTTGAGGAGAGACTGCATATGTTGTTTGGCAGAAATTGGGGCCTGAGAACTGTAACGTGCATGTGTCTTACTTTACAAGAGGGCAGCTTTCAATTTTAAAGGGTCCTACGTTTGAAAGGCTGGGCCGTCCAAGTCCAATTTAAAGACAAAGCATCCTAAAGAGAGAGAGCTTGAAGTTGCCCATCCATAGCAGTGACTGAACAGCTGACTAAGCACTTGTAGTCCAGAAAAGTAACTTTCATAATTCATCTCTAGCCTACTAGGAAACTCCATCTCCAAGCTCCAGTCTTTATGCAGCTAAAATGGTACCATCCACATGCAAGCAAGGTGTCAGCAAGCTTGTGGGAAGCCAAAGGTTTGCAGATGTATAAATAAGTGTATGGCCGGAACCATAATAGCTTTGTTGTTTTAATGTATATGCCACCCTAGAGTTTGATTGATTGATTGTATTTATACCCCGCCAGCTTTGTTGTTTTATTGTATATGCCACCCTAGAGTGCTAAAGCAGTGTCTGGTCATTTTACACCATAATTATGCAAACAACACGTTGCCCCACAACAAGCTGGGTACTCAACTTTACCAATCTCAGAAGGATGGAAAGCTGAGTCAACCTTGAGCTGGCTACCTGAGCCCTTTGGATTGAACTCAGGTCTTGAGCAAAGGCTTGACTACAGCACTGCAGCTTAACCACTGCACCATGAGGCCCCTGAGCTCTGTGAGGACTCAGCATGCTCAGCAAATATAGAATTCTGATCTGTTCATTAAGAGGAGGGAGGGAGGAAAGCCAGGTGGAGCTGTGAGGGATGGTGGAACATGACATCCTCAGAAGGACATGACTGTCTAACTGAACTCTGAACAGGAGTATCCTCCATGCTGCGTAAATTAACTATAATTTCATGTCTGTGCCAGACTGCTTTGCTTACTGTATTTTAAAAAAATCCCCCAAGTGATAAAGCTGAATTAATGTATTTTATTATAGTCTGTGTATCCTGATGATGTGCTCTGTAAAGAAGTCGGGATAGTTTGAGTGGTGCCTCCTTTGGCATAAGATGGCTCTGACAGCACCAATGCACCTCCAATCTGTAAATGCCTCATCTGTTTCTTTTTTAGAACATCTGGAGTTCAGCTGCCGGGAAGTATACTCTACCCGCTATGTTACCGAAGGTTTGTGCCGCAGTGTTAAGCCAATAAGGGAGTTGGTATGCTCGGGTCAATGTCTTCCATCCCATCTCCTCCCCAATTCAATCGGCAAAGGGAAATGGTGGCGGCAGAATGCTCTGGATTATCGCTGCATCCCGGCGCACAGCCGTTCTCAGCGTGTCCAGCTGGCCTGCCCTGGCGAGGATGTTCGGACGATCAAGATCAGAACCATCACTGCTTGCAAATGCAAACGGTACACTCGCTACCACAATCGCTCCCAGCTCAAGGATTTCAGCAAAGAGACTGCCCGGCGCCAAAAGAACAAAAAGCCACACCTCTCCAGAGCCAGAGGCAGCAAAGCCCACCAACCAGAGCTTGAGAATTCTTACTAGTGGAGAGCTTCGACAAAACTCAGCCCAGAAATGGAGAATTTTATTTTTTGTCTCGACCCACCCTCCCTTTTTGATGGCATCAAGGTCCAAATGGGATCAAGTGAGGGGGGGGAGGCCATCGCTACCACTGTAGCTCTCATGGCCAAAAGGTCAGAGTTGATGCAGGCAAAAAGCTATTGAACTCTCCTTTAGCAAGTTGGATGAGGGAGAGAGAAAGAGAAAAAGAGAGAAGTAGAAAGAGTGGAACTAAGCATGAGGAAGCTGTTCTAAGACTGAGACGCAGAGTTACTCAGATGTCATAAAGAGCTTGTTCGGTTCGGAAGGCTAAAGGGCTTTATGTTCTCTTCAACTTCCTTGTGCTTCCTTGATTTGACAAAGAACTAGCCTTTCTGTGTATCGACGCTATACAGCTATAGCACTTTGATCCCATTTTAACTGCCATGGTTCCCATCCTATGGAATCTTGGGGTGTGTCGTTTAGTGAATTATCTGCTCTGAATTCTGGGAGAGCAATCTCTAGAACTATGGTTTTCAACCTTTGGTCCTCCAGGCGTTTTGGATCAATCCTTCAAGGTCTGGCTAGCAGCTCCAGGGATTTGAGATTGAAATCCACAACATCTGGAGAGCTAAAGGTCAAGAACCACTGTTCTAGCAGAAAAGTCTAAGCATTTTCACCCAACTACAAAATCCAGAATTCTATAGCATGGAGCCATGACAGTTAAGCTGCTGTAACTACATAGTGTTGGTACAGTGTCTCTGTGAAAATAAACACTAATCTGTTTGAACAATGTAATATCCCTAAGGGTATGTGTTCACCTGCACACTCCTATTGTTGTCTTTAATCCTTTTGCTCTTCATGGATTGATCAACACATTCCCTTATGTTCTGCAGCCGTTGGACTGTACCTAAGCAATGTGATTTCATGCTTTCTCTCAGTGACACATATTTGCTTCTTCTTTTTCTGTGGTCATTACTCTATATATTGCATTGTCTAGGTTTGGGGGATTCTAAAAGTTGTGTGATTTTGCACATGAAAATATAGTTAGGAAAAGTGGAAAGGTGGGGGGAGAAAAAAAAGACCTCATATGAGGTGGATTGACTCAATAAAGCAAGCCACAGCCTTTAGTTTGCAAGATCAGGGCAGTTAATGATGGGACCTTTTAGTGGTGATTAATTTATAAGATCATCGGAGATCAGAAGCTACTTGATAGCACATAAAAATAGATGCACATATATTTTATAGTCAGCTAACTTTGCTAGGGCATGTAGAATCAGAAAGCATCAGAAATGGTGAGGTAGATGGCAAGTTGGACAGCAGCAAATGGGCAGAACATCAGGATGGGGGCATAGGAACAAACGTCATTGTGGAGGCACAGGAGGATGAAAGAAGCAGTGATAGGTTTCCCCTCTGCAAACATCAGTGCTAGTAATCCTGATCATAATCTCAGTAATTTGGGGGAACACCTGATCCTCCCAATGTTGGACTATAACTCTCATCCACTTTGACCACAGATCATGCTGATGGTAGCTGATGAGAACAAGTAGTTCAACATTCCCTGGAGGATTGCAGGTTCCCCAACCTTGCAGTAAAGCAGGTATCTCTTTTTCTGGGGAAAAGAGGACAATTTCATTCATTACATATAAGGAGTCATGCTTAAAAATAGGGTGAGCTCGTGTTTGTACTGCATCTCTTGTGGCAGATGAGCTAAAACTCCTTGCTGAAGGCAAACACAATCAATAGCAAAGCAGACCATGTGCAAAGCATCTCTGGTTTTAGTAATAATTGTGCCCCCTCCAGGTGAGAACAAGAATCATGGGGGCGGGGGAGAATCTGTAAAGCAAGCTCAGATTCTATATTGCAGATGGTTGATGAGTATGGTCTGAATGTTTCACAGGGCATTGTTATTTTCTGCTTGCAGAATATATATTCTGAACACGTTCTCAAGAATTTGGCTAATCCCAAACTCACTCTCTTCTTAAGGAAAAGGGCAGACAAGTTTCTAGAGCTCTTTGCTACAGAAAATGGGGGAAGTGAGTTAGAATAATTCATGTGGTTACTGCTGAGCAGAAAATTGAATCCAGCTGTCTCACCGTGAGAACCAGTGTGGGTATCCTCATTTTCCACATTGTGATCTTTTTTCAGATAGTGTGATTTACAATTCCCATCAGTCTTAGTCAGCATGACCAATGAGCATGGATGATGGGATTTGTGGTTCAAAACAATCTGCTTGAGAAAGGCTGTTTTCGACCTATTCCTAGGGTTAATCCAGGAAGCTTAGAGATGCTATATTTGGGCTGTTATTAAAAGCATAATTAAATCAGAGAGAAAAGCAAGATAGGAAGAATATTTCCTTGTGAGTTTCTGTAATCAGCAGCGTCAAGGCTCTACCCATCCTATAGCTAGAAGAGATCAATTGAATCAATAGTTGAATAGTGAGTCAACATTTATGTAAATCCTAGTGATTCACAAGAACTATGAATAGGATTTTAACCATAGAGGTTATGTGACTTATTTCCTGGACACCTTCTTCCCTAATTCCAGATGTGTGGTTGCATCCAAAACATGCACTGTGCATGAGTCTAGATAATCTGTCTGTCTCAAACTACCATCTCCATCATCCCCAATCATTGACTAGGTTGGTGGGGACTGAGAGGGTTCAGAGTCCAACTACATCCAGTGGGTCAAAAGTTCCCTGCTCTTGGGCTACAGTGTGTGGTTAATTGTTCTCTGACATGTTCCACATGAAAGCCCGGATCACATTATGCTTTGCTGCACATATTCCTGCCATGATGTCTTCAGTGTAACAATGTTTGGACAAAGACAAATATTTTCCTTTGCTTGTTTCTTTTTAACCTACTCAGCTCTTGTGCCAAAGGCTTAATCCTGCTTTAAAAATCACAATAGGATTTCCTGCATGGGATGTAATGCCCTCTAATCCAATAGTCCTGTCCACTTCCAAAGAAATTGAGAAGAATATTAATGCACTTTTCATATGTTCATGGGCTCTCCTTATTATATTATGATTTTCTTGTTCCATAACTGAAACCTGGCATGTGGGAAAAAATTCTACTGCATGCTAAAAAAATTTAAGAAACAAAACAGCCTTTATTAAGCCTGCACCATCCAAATGTGATGGGCTATAACTCCAATAAAACCAACCAGCAAATTAAGATCGGCTAGAGATAATGGGAACGGTAGTCTGATATGTCTGGAGGTCGCCAGGTTGGAAAAGACAAGAAAGATACATTCTGAGTTCCTTTATATCTGTGCCTTTGAGCTTCAACAATTGTCAGCCAGCCTCCTCAAATCTTAAGGCTGAATATTTCAAACTGCAAATTATACAGCCCAACATTTGCATCTGGGCACATCTGTTCTCAGTAGCTCATGTCTCACCATTTGCTTCTAGTCAGAAGACATATGACACTTTTCTACAGCTTCGATGGATTTTGTTTCCAGTTGATGGACTTGATTGCGGAAAAAAAGTTGACTTTTCCTGAGATTTAAATGCTATATTTATTTTTGCTGTAAAAAGTATTTATACTATATGTTTCTTTGTTTTTCTACATCTAGCAAACTGGGCAGTCCTGCTCTCATCATATATAGCCAGATGTTTGAAAGATATACGTATATATCCCTAAAGGTATTAAGTTAATAAAGTCATGTCCATGGGGAAAAAAATCACCCATTTGTTTGCTTGTTTCTTTGCCATTTGGAACGCAAATGTCACAGGTTCAGAAGGCTGGGGGGGAAATAGGCAGCCATCCAGCTGAAACTGTCTGCCGAGATTAGAGATGTGTGAAAAACCAGCTCCAGGGGTCGTTTTAGGGAGTGCCACCCCCTTCCTGTCTGCGCAGTCCAGAATGGACATGGATTAGATGAACTCTGCCTCCTGGAATCTGCATGGAACTGGACGGCTATGAACGCATCTGATAAAAATGCACACAGTTGAAAAGTATGCCTGGAACAAAATGTATACATTTAAAAACACAGATTTAAGAGTGCTACAGGTCATTGGGAGAAGGCATGCAATCAATGCCCATGAGTTGAGAAATATGTGCAAAATTGTACACACTTGCAAAAAAAGAGAGAGCAGATTTTGGGCCTCAAATAACAGTGGAGAGAAACACAAGAAAGCACAGACCAGATACTGTGTTGGGAAAGAAAAGCAGCCTACAGAGCCATGTGACACAGGCTATCAGTGTGGGCTGGATAGCAAAGCTACCGTATTTATCCAGCTGAATAAGTAAACCACCTCACAGACCACAGGTATTCATAGGAAGCTGTCTTTTACCAAGTTTCCTGTGCCCCAGTGTTGTCCACTCAGATATTAAAATCATCTCTTCAGGGATTCTAGAGGGTATCATGTGTTCCCAAACCTTTTTGCTGGAGGGATCAGTGGGGCCAGCCCTACTACATGGCATAGTGCAACAGTTATTTTTTTTTCAGGTGGCAGATTTCTCTGCTGGGGTGGAGTATAGCAGAATGATGCTGGTGGACACAGCGATGTCTGTGTATCACCTGCCTTCCCTTCTGCTGTCTAAGCCAGGCTATTGTCCTACTAGTGGTAAAACAAGATTGCCCTGGTTGTTCTGGATTTTTTGGGCTCTTAGGCCATGTTCTGAAGGTTGTTCTTCCTGATGTTTCGCCAGTCTCTGTGGCCGGCATCTTCAGAGGACAGCAACCTGTACAACTCACCAGAACTCAGCCTAAGAGCCCGAAAAAACCCAGAACAACCATTAGATCCCGGCCGTGAAAGCCTTCGCGAATATCAAGATTGCCCTGCTTTCTGGACATTGTCTACACTTGGAGAGGGAGAGGGGCATCAACCTACCTCAGGCAACAAAAAGTCTTGGTCTCCACCTGGATATCTGCTAGTAAATCTGTGACCTGAAGGTTTATGATCTTTAACTGAGGTATAGACAGCCCTTCCCTATGGAGAAGGTAGAACAGATACCATGGCCTGAACCAAATGAGTGTTTATGCATGTGTAAGTACATTGGTTCAATTAGTAGTTAATTAATTAGCCCCCAAATGAATTCCTAGTAGTGTTCTCAATTGCCTGCCTTGGCACACATCTGGAAATTTGACCAGAGGCTTGTAAATTAATGGCTATTCAATACTCCACGTTATACCAATGCACTTAAGCTGGTGCAAACATTCGCTGTCCACAAGTTGTCACCAGTCAAACTACGTCAAGAGCGAATATTTTTCTGAAGACACACAGACAGATCCAGTAAGAAGGAAGCGTTTTTCAGACCTGATTCCAGCAGGACGAATTAAATCTGAAGGTGTAATACACAACTCATTTTCGAGCAAGGCCCACAGAACTCCTCCTCCTGGGTAGACACATATAAGAAAGTCTTTGCTCAACTCTTCTATTGACATAATTGGGATTTTAAGGTTGCAAGTGGCAAGGAAGTAGAGGCAAGACACAGACAGATCCAGTAAGAAGGAAGCGTTTTTCAGACCTGATTCCAGCAGGATGAATTAAATCTGAAGGCATAATACACAACTCATTTTTGAGCAAGGCCCACAGAACTCAGTGGGACCTCCTCCTCCTGGGTAGACACATATAAGAAAGTCTTTGCTCAACTCTTCTATTGACATAATTGGGATTTTAAGGTTGCAAGTGGCAAGGAAGTAGAGGCAAGATAAACATTAGGAGAAACCTAAAGATCAGAGGTGTTCCGCAACAGAATGAAGACTGTGTTACAGGTGGTGAGTTGTCTTCCACTGGAGGCATTTAGGCAGTGGAAGTGGAAGTTCAGAGTGTGGCTGGACTAGGACTTAGGAGACCAAAAACTCAGCAAAAGTGAGTGGCCTTGGATCAGTCACATCCTATCAGCCTCACCAACTTCACAGCATTCTTGTGAGGAAGAAAAGACTCAAGTACACCACCTTGAGCTGACTGGAGGGAAGATGGGATATAAATGGGCCAAATAAATAAATTAATACGCATATACATACCTATGTCTATATATACACATTAAGTAGACATCCACCAGTTAAGACTGCTGTAGTTCAGCGATGAATAACACACAGCACTTGGGCTGCATGACCCCAGCCTCTGCTTTTTGAGACCTGGACCTACTCAGCTGCCATGGCCAGATAAAAAATGGAGTTCAAAACAAGTCAGTCGTGCTGGCTTGTGGGGATTTTGGAAACTGTAGTGCAACACCTCCTCCTCCTCCTGCCTTGGGCTTTCAGGTAAAGGACTTTCTTCTGTCCAATAAGACAGATGCCTGCCCACCCTATGTTTTCTGTGATATGTGATCTCTGTGTCTCTGTCTTCCTTCCTTCCTGCAAATTCCTCCTCCAAACCCAACTTTTCTCCTTGTTCTGGGGGATTTTTGGCAGTTGTAGTTTTTAAAAATCCACAGGATTGCTTCTGAGCTCTGACCTGAGGCTTTCTCTTCCATAGTGAATGGCACTGCAGTTGTATTTAAATTCTAAGTTTCTTTCTGTAAATCAGCATATGCACATTTGATACAAACTCACAGCCATTACTGGTAATGCATTTCCTCTTTCTGGTGATGAATAAATGGCCACCCCATTTTTATCAAAGCAGATCAAATATTGGAATTAGATTCCCGCCCAAGGAGTCATTGCTTTTGAAAGGTAGTCACTTTTGTATTCGCGAAGGCTTTCATGGCCGGGATCTAATGGTTGTTGTGGGGTTTTTGGGCTCTTTGGCCGAACAATCTTCAGAACACGGCCAAAGAGCCCAAAAAACCCCCACAACAACCATAGTCACTTTTGTTCTGATCTGCCCACAAATCTGAAACCCAAAGGCCAAGAAACTCTGTAGTTCCTTGAATCCTGACTACTAAGCATGACAAGACTCTGTCCTTTCAATCCACATACAGAAGCAACTAGACTAGCAGATGAATTTCAGAGTCACATTATATGAAATCTCAGCTTAACTTTCAAAAGCGGATCGTGTATTTTCCCTCCATAAATATAGATTCCTTCAAAACTCCATGCTTGACCAATCGGGCTTGTAAACAGAGTCCATGCTTATCTCAGGATGACCAATCGCAATTCTAAAAAGAATGAAAGCTAATTCAAAACAAAGTCCTGTTCAAATAAACAAATATTCCTACTTAATGAAGTTTCAAAATATACGCTAATGATATTCTCTAATTTAACTCTTATTTCAATACTGGAAATGGTGTATTATCTTCCACCACCCTTTAGGGCAGTCAAGTAGATTAAGAGGTGCAGCAAGACAGGCCACGAGCAACACGCAGACCATGTTCCTCTCTCTAAGAGAAAGGAAAGCCCAGGACGAATGGCTGAAAGCACTACAGCTATTGCCCCTTCCATCCCAGCATGCACTACTTGAAGAGGTTCCTTCTCTGCCTAATGGTAGGTCCAGCCTTGAACTCAAGCAACACTTGTTTGTGCTAAAAAAACGCAACTGTTTTTGTAATTGGGTTCTTTCTATAAGCTCTCAGGCAGGGTCCACCACACAGGTCTGCGGTAGATTGGCCAAAGAGATCAGGGAAGATTGGGAAGCTAAATTCTGCTTAAGAATTTATTTGTTCATGTCACAAGCAAGTCCATTTTTTTTTCCAGGACGGAAGGAAGGATCAGCCAAGTGGGCGCTGTTGTTGCCCAGGGCATGTCCAAATGTGTCCACAGTCCTCATGTTCTTTGGGGAGGCTCCTTCTATGTTCCAGAAGAGGATTGGGCAGCTACATGAAACACAGTGAGAGGGGTCCCCGAGCACATGCTAGGGAGTGACAGATGATAGTCCACAAATGTGTGTGGTTAGGTATGCTGCCACATAGTAGATTCCAAAAGTCCACCAAAGTTTGAAAAAGTTACTGTTTGGATGACAACTCCCAAAATCCCTCAGTCGTCCAAAGACTAACTTTTCCAAACTCTATTCTCAGTGTTCAGAAAAGAGCACTCTGTGTAGAACATACAGGCCTTCTTTCTTAATTATCTTCATTGTTGTTGTTGTTTAGTTGTTTAGTCGTGTCCGACTCTTTGTGACCCCATGGACCAGAGCATGCTAGGCCCTCCTGTCTTCCACTGCCTCCTGGAGTTGGGTCAAATTCATGTTGGTCCCTTCGATGA